ATATATATATATATATGTATATATATATATATTTCTACTGATTGACCTGGGGACCATGTATATTCTTATTTATTAAGATAATGCAACCTGAGCTCCACTAGACTTACAAATAAACTCAGAAAATTCCTTCTTCTTAAATTGGCAACTCCCATACAGATGCAAATGATCTAATTCCACTGTCAAAAGAACCAGCTGGCTAGGTGCAGTGGCTCACAGCTGTAATCCTAGTACCGTGGGAGGGTGAGGCACGGTGGATCCCGAGCTCCAGACTAGCCTGTTCAAGAGCTAAACCCCATCTTTACTAAAAATAGAAAAAAAATAGCGGGGGATTGTGGTGGGTACCTGTAGTCCCAGCTACTCAGGAGGCTGAGGCAAGAGAATCACTTGAGCCCAAGAGATTGAGGTTGCTTTGAGATATGACACCGTAACTCACTGAGGGTAATAAAATGAAACTCTGTCTTCAAAAAATAAATAAATAAAAGAACCAGGGTGGCGCCTGTGGCTCAAAAGAGTAGCGTGCCGGCCCCATATGCCAGAGGTGGCGGGTTCAAACCCAGCCCGGGCCAAATACTGCAAAAAAAAAAAGAACCAGCTTATATTTTTACTATTAAATAAGAGTAATAGCATAAAATCTGATGCTTAAGCTAAATAATATCAAATAGCAGGATGTAAGAAAATTCTCAAGTTAAATAGAATTCCTCACCTTGGTTTATCCCCAAGGGAATCCAAAAGATTATCTGTACAGATTTGTACATGAATTTGCATAGCAGCATTAACCATAATGGACAAAAAGTTAGAATAGTCCAAGGATTCATTAACTGATGGATAGCCAAACATGGAATACCCATATAAGGGAATATTAGCAAAGAAAAGGAATGGATGACTGATTTATGCTGCAACATGGAGGAACCATGAAAAGATTATGCTAAGGGGAAAAAACCAGTCACAAAAGACTACATATTATATGAGTCCATTTACACGAAATGTCCAGAACAGGCAAATCTATAGGGACCGAAAGCAGACTGGTAGTTGGGCAGGGCTAGGAACGGGAATGAGAGTTGACTGCAAATGGGCATAAGGGAATGTTTTGGGGTGGAATGTTCTAAAACTGGACTGTGGTAACACTTGCACAACTCTCTACATTTGCTAAACATCATCCAACTGTACAGTTACAATGAGTAAATTATGTAAATTACACTTCAACACAGCTGTCTAATTTTCTTTTTACGTTAAAAAATTTAAAATACCCCTCCAACTGAAAGTTAACTCTGTAGGCATAGAGGCTAAGCATATAGGCATGACACGTACCCTACTGGCCTATTACCACATAAGACAGGCGTACCTGGCTTGATAATCATGGGTCCGAGGTGTTCCAAGCATCTATGTATTAACATGTTTGACAAAAGAAAGATGCACTGAACTCAGTAACAGCATCCTAACAATCATACTGCCAAAGAGAAGGCTAAAGGAAAACTTCAAAGTAATAAAAGGGCCTATGTCATGGATAGCATAAAGATGGACTGGCAGCCAGGTCTTTTTTAAATCTTGTATTATTAATGGCCAACCTCATTATTTACTTTGCTGACATCTAAAAATAATTCCTCATAAATTTAGTGATATTAAAATGGAAGCTACTGGGCAGCGCCTGTGGCTCAAAGGAGTAGGACACCAGCCCCATATACTGGAGGTGGCAGGTTCACACCTGGCCCTGGCCAAAAACTGCAAAAATAAAAAATAAAAAATAAAATAAAATGGAAGCTACTATTTGTAATGAAATGTATAAATGTATATCGTACTAAATTTTAGTTTCTCTTGATCAAAATATACCATGTATCACTGACCATTGACATTCAGCCATTTTTTCATCCCTAAATCCAGGCATATTTTATGTGAAAAGTTAGTATATGATAGCTAAACTATATACCATATTTTTATTTGAATTTTATTTACATTTTATATTGAAAGAGAATCAATACAAATCAGAACATATTTACAGCATTTCAAATCAGTGTACAAGAATGCAATGGTTTCATCTATTCTATATTCAGCAAACAAAAATACGTGTCTGTTCTGTTTTTGCCTGAATTCTGCTGCAATTTGCACTGAAAACAAAACTCTGAAACAAAAGATAAGCCACGCAGAATACAAATAAAGTGCATTTTAAATAGATCTATTGAACTTTGGTGGATGAAGCTTCAAACTTTAGATTAAGGCACCTGGAATTCTCCCCCCCCTCTTTTTCAAACTCCAAAAAATGCATTCACAAAATTTATAGCTACATGGACAGAATTTCAGTTTATCTAATATAATTTTAGCCCATTTAGGTCAAATGTAAACTCAACTTTTAAAGTCAACATTTTTCAGAAAACATTTTCTACAGACTAATTTTACAGGACATTTTCTGTAGACTAATTCATGCACAAAGATCGATTACCAATTGTGTGACTTACACCGTCATTACCGTTTTCAAATAGCTTGGTAATTTATGTACTGTGTTTTTGAAAATTGCATAAGTTTGAGAAATAGTTACACAGTATTTTTGTCTATAATGTGTCAAATTGGTGTCACTAATACACTAATCAATTCAGTCCATATTCTCTGATAAACTATACTCAACACTCAAATGAAGTACATTTAGCCTAATTTTAAAAACCAGAAAAAGTTAAAATGAATATTTTGCTTTAATCTTGTTCTATTAACTTAATGTAGCTTAAATAGACATTTCATGAAGTACTAGCCTAAGTTTGCATTGCTTTTTACATTACAATTCCAGATCAATATAAGCACCTGGAGAAAACCCCTGACACATATAGCCCAAGCTAAAGTATTATTATTTTTAATTAAGATACTATCATAAAATAGATTATAGCTACTCCACGTTTTAAAAGCAGTATGTTTTGATAAGAAAACTGTTATAAATGAAAAATGTGACTCCTTCAAGAGTGTTTTGAATGTTTAAAAATGTGGCTATCACTATTGAGAGAAATCTTGCCTATGAAAAAGATTATAATGAGTTTGTGGGAAAAAGAGTTAGTAGGTTAAATATTGTAAGCCGCTTAACTATAGCATAATATTAATCATCTCAGCACTTTCAGTATCATTCTGATTTTATTGAGTTTATCCAATTTATTAAAAGTAAACTAAGCCCTGATTGGCAGTTCTGTTATTAACCACCAGGTCAAGTTTTCTGTTGACACAGACTTTATGATTTAATTTCTCGAATAACAGTCTCTTGATCAGGAGTTTCATCTTCTTCAAAGGTTGGGTTGTCAACATGAGGAATGACATCCACTGCCACGGAATTCGCTTCATGGTTTACCAGCTGCAGATTCTCATCTTTAAAAAGAAATGGCAATTTTTAGGACAATTTCACCCCTGTCTTCTTCTAAGATAAAATTCAACATTTATTTCTAAAACGACTTTCTTATTGAATTTCATCATACTCTGATTATTATCCTACTTCCCTGAGCCTTTAGTGACTAAATGATTTATGCTATGTCTTACATAAAGCCCCTGTGGCATTATCATGTTGGCTTATAATTACTCTTTTTTTATTCACATATGTATGCTTATTTCTACCTAGATTATAGCCTCCATAAGAGCAAAAGTTACATTGTTGTCTCCACATTTCACTCACCTAGGCACTTTAAAAAATAACCAATGCTTTTCATATACAAACACATATACATAGATTTTTGAAAATCAAGAGGAAGTTGGGTGGGTGCCCCAAATGGAATATAAACAGTAATAAATGAATCTTAACTGTATCACAAATGAAATATATAATCATTCTGAAGAGAGTGGGGGAAGAAAACTACTAAACTGAAATAACTTTGGAAAACAGTATTTTGATTCTAACCTTTAAGACTAAAAACCAAGGCTCGGCGCCTGTGGCTCAAACGGCTAAGGCGCCAGCCACATACACCTAAGGTGGCGGGTTCGAATCCCCAGCCCGGGCCCGCCAAACAACAATGATGGCTGCAAC